TGTCAAAGGAAATGATGAAAAAGAATCAAGGAACAAAGTTGCATACTTACAGCACAAGCTAAATTACTGCCTTTACTGCACTGTATAAACCTTTCAAAATATTAGAAAGGCATATCCTCCTTGAACAGAAAGAAGCAGAAAAAAATGTTAGAGCCATGACTAAAATAAAGTGATTAATTTGTATCAATAAACCCATACAAAATGGAGAGAAACTTGCAGCATTTACATACCAGCTCAAGGCTGCATTCATAATAAATGTTTTCACTATTAGCAAAGAACAAATTGCTTGACAATCATACTGCCTTTCTGCAGTTGCCTATCAGATAATTACTTATATCAGGTGCATATAGTAAACTGCAGAGAGTAGATTATATGGCAACTTCCTCACCCATTTAGCACAAAATGTCCTACAACCTCTTTCACATTCACGCTTTACATATTAGTAATTGTGGGTTTTTTTCAGAGAGATCTTAGAGCTTAATTCAAATATACTCGTGTCAGTTTTACTTCTTCTAGTAGCTGCAATTGATCTGAGGTCTATTTTTTAACACTTATGTTTGACATACACATGAACTACATTTAAACAACTCATATTGCTATGAGGAGCAGTGAAGAATTTATTTTCCTGAGACTGGTCCCAGAGACCATCACAGCCAGGTAACTACAACAGTACTAGGAGAGAGACAAGTAACAGGTCTACATTAAAATAAGCAGTATTTATAAAGATTTCCTTCTCCTCAGCCCCAGATGAAAATGTTATAAGTTGTCCAATATTTACAAGTTGACAAATTATCACATCCATTATCCTTTGGAAAAGGGACAGGAAAGCATACATCATAAAACAAGATCCTATGATGTGATGATATTTATGTTCTTCCACTTAACAATATTTTTAAAAAAGTCTACATGAAAGTCTCAGAAAATTGTGTGCCCCACAGGGCATGTTATTCTACCATACACCAAACAACAGGAACTTTATTCCCATCTTTATCCACAAAACCCCTTCAGCCTAAAAATCTATCAAGAAGCTGCACAGAACAGGGACTGTACTCTTTGCCAGTATTTCCTGGTGGTAATGGATCCCACTCATGTTCTTCATTATTTTATCATGTCAGCATAGCACGTTTTTTCCCACTGTGTAACCACAGTTAATACAGTTTCCATTGTACTATTGTAGAAATCTAAGAACATATGCTCTGAAAGCTGAAGGGGTAAGAGAGACAGAAATGAGCCATTAGTGCCTGGACAGCCTTGGGTCTCACTTGCACAGCACAGCTGCAGTTGCCAAATTAAAAATATGTTTAGAAATGTAGCTGAACAATTCGTAAGGGATAAAAACAAAGTTCTTGTAGAATTATTTTGTGTCTTTACTGATCATTTATGTTATGAGTAATAAAATCCCAGATCTATGTGCTTTTAAAAATGAAAAGAATTAAATACTTTGGAAAGTATTAGTAAGTCACTGCCTCTTTCAATTTCAGAACAATAAATTGGGGGGAAAAAATAAAGAGAAAAAAAGAATCTCATTTCCTGATCATACCAGATTACTGATAAAAAGCCATCTACATTAGAATTTGCACAAAATGAGAAGATGGCCTTTGCCCAGTTCCTGCAGGTGGTGTGCATGCATCAACAAACACTTGAAATTATTCAGCATTTACTATTCAGGTTGGGACAGTGCTGGTCAAAACCTTCTATGCTAGAGTCATGTCGGAAGGAAAGTCTAGACATCATAGATTAACTTACTTCATCCAAACTTATTTTCTCTACAATGTGTGTTTTAATGTTTGTTGAAGGCCAAGAGTATTTTTGCTGTATTGTGAATTATGTATATAGCAGCCTAACTCCCGGGGGCACCTCCTATCAATTATTACTACAGGATAAATGCATATGACCAAACTCTTTTAGTAAAAAACAATTTTTAACTTCCTCTTAAAATTATCTCTCAAGACCTAGCAGAGAAACTCAAAGCACCACTGATGCTGTTAACATCCCAATCCCAACTTTGGTGGGGCTGGATATATAGCCAATATGATATTAGCACATTTTAAAGGACAACCATCATCTGAAACTTTTGACTTTAGGTTAAAATCTTAACCTAACCTAAGGTTAAAAATATTAAATAGCACCAGGTACTACCTCTGCTGAGTCATCTTCTCCTCTACCCAACAGGAAAACATCATTGTGATATTACTTAATTTTTTTTTCCTCACCACATCCTATTGTTGGGATGTCAGCATCTTGGAAAATGAGGCTCAGAAAATGCAATGCAATGCAGTGAGAGGCTGTGTACTGGAAAGCACATGGTGTACTCAGTGTCTCCCCTAGGCTTCCTCTACCACACACAAACTCCGAGTTACAGAGAGACTGCACAAGGTGGTAAATTACTCCTGTGACATCTGCAAGGTAGATCATGTGTAAACTGGAAAGAAAAAAAGAGTATCTTTGAGACATCAGAGCTGGAGAAGTAGAAGATGGCTCTTTTGCAAGTATGTTGTAAGCTGGGCAGAAATGAGCCTTGTTATACAGCAATAGTGGACTTTGCATACTACACAGATAGGATCTGCCAGTGTTTTTAAAAGGGGAATCTTGACATATTGCCATAGAGCTATTCATAGTCACTTCCATCATGCAGTGAAAATCTGACCTACTCTTCTTTTTTGGTTTGACACATGCATGACATCTAGCTTTTTGGATCAGAAATTATGATGAAAAAAAACATCATAAAAGCAACATGGAAAGCAAACAACCGCTTAAAAAAAAAAAAAAAAAAAAAAAAAAAAAAAGCCACAGCTCCACAGCTGTGATAATGTCAGCAGTTAAAGTTAACCTCTAGCTACAGCAGTCTGGTCAGCTTGCTCTTATATTTGTTGAACCAGCATGCAGGGCTGGCATTCCCTATCATCATCAGTAATACTATACTGCTGGGATATGATTAGCTACTTAAGGGCATGTAATTTGCAGTGTAGCTCCACTGACCAGAAGGAAGCGAATTCTAAACTTACCCTGATATTCAATGAGAAACAGGTCTTAAACAGCCAGCAAGAAAACACACATGCTTTATAACCGCAGCCTTTTTTGCAACTAAAAGCTGGGAGAAGCTGCCCATCATCATGAGCCAGGTCTTCTCAGGATATGAGGAAGATCAGAATGACACTACGAAACAAAGTCAGAAGTTAACACAGGTCCTTATTTAGTGCAACTTAAATAAACATATTTCTTCAGATCTACCATGGAAAATAGAATTTGCAAAAGCATTGCTCCAAGAATGAAACGTATCTTTGGTGTTTATTTTACCTGGACAAAGAACGGTAGCAGAGGGCAGAACTGGCCTCCAAAACAAGCACTGTATCTAGATGCTGAGAGTAAGCACTGTGTAAATGTGTGCATATGAAGGCAAATCACAGCCTGTTAGACTTCATAATGGGTGAAAAAAGTAGCATTACATCTGAAACACTGAAATATCAGTTACTGATATTTTTGCTAATAAACATAACCAGAGTTCTTAGACTAATTTGCCTGGGCATTAATTAAAACAACATACAATTTACATTGATCCCCTCAAAGGCTACAAAACATCTTGTTAGCTTCCACAGCATCTTAATTTTTCCAAATAAAAATTCTTACTACCTGAGAAATTAAGTTGTTTTCCTTTAACGATGTTTGCATCTTTACCACGTTCATTCTGGGAACATGCCAAACTCTCCAAAATAGTAAACAGTCTAGTTTTTCTTGCCAAAACTAAGTAGACATGAACTTTTAGATCACTAGGGGAAGAAAGTTCCATTCTGAACTGTGAAGGGTCTGTTATATGATCCACTGAAATTAATGGAAATATTACTCATCACTTAAGTTTTAAGACAGAATCTTAAGAGCTGGCTTTTGTTTAGGAGAATGGGTGCTAGGAGCAAAGGAATATTTGACCTGCAGAAACTGAGAAAGGTAACTGGCCCCTTCAGTTGTCCCTAAAGTGCCAAACAAAGCTCAGATGCAGGAGGTAACTAGGGCCACATATTTTCCCATTTCACATCTTTCGGGATAAAAAAAAAGACAAACCACCAAACAATCAAACTTTCCTCTAGAATAAAAAACACGCAACAAAAGGAGCATAAATCAATCACGGATTTGCCTTTTGCTGAGCTCTAAAGAAAGATACTTGGATCCGAATTTCACACTATCAGCCTGCCTCTAGTTTCATTTTTCTGAAGTAATATCCTGTTTAAATGGATACCGTCTTAACTCTGAACACACAGATTCACAACCTTCTGCAATAGCAGATCTCACAAGAACACTGTGAAGATCCCCAGCAGAAATCTTGCAAGTTTTCACACATTTCATGCTCACAGTCTGAACGGCTGCCAAAGAAATGATGATGTGCATCATGACAAACCTAGTGGGTTTATAATTATTCACTCAAAAGGGTGAGCAATTTGTATGGGTAAATATTACACTGCTGGTTGTACAAAATGCTTCATGACCAAAACCCAGACAACTACAGCAGTAAGTATGGGATGCAGAGCAAACACAACCTGAACTTCAGCACTAGACACTGCTAGGCCACACAGTTACTTTTTAACAGAAGGCCAGGGAAAGAGAAAATTTTTTATTTCAGTTATAACTCCCTTGCAATTCTAAATATTCTCTCTGAAAATACAAATTAAAACAATTTAAACAGCACACACGCACTCACATTGTCCCATAGACCACTGCTGGTCCACAAGGCTGATTTTAGAGCCCTGCTAACGCTTTCTGGAAAGAAAAGGCTTTTAGAAAAGGTAACTCAGCCCAACCAGTTGAACTCCTCTCAGATCCAGAGATTAGAAGAGGGGAAGAGTAACCACAGGCTCCTGTTGTACATGCACAGCCTGGCCCTGAGCACCAAGAGGCACTGCCACTGCTCCAGATCTTGTTGAAGGACCTGGTCCTCCTCTCACTGGGACTGCTAGTGCCAGATTCCTTGCATTCAAAACAATCATGACACATGTGTTTTTAATTCCTACCTGGTAAAAATAAATCTCCTCGCATTTCTGCTCTGGCTTCTTCAGAAAAGCATCGTTTTTTCAACCACTCAACTTCATATTCACTTGTGTGTCCATCAGGCCATGTAACAGAGATCTTCCAACACAAAACAAAATATAATTTTAGAACAAAAAAATTCAAACCCCACCACCTAGAACAATCAAAAAAATCCCAAAGAAATTGCACAAATTGTAATATTTAGATCAATAATATCAGAGTTAAATTTTCCCTGGAGCATAATGGCAAACAAGTACTGATAACCCATCCTGAACATCATCCAAATTCTGACACCTTTTATAAATGGTCATTTTCACATGAACCCCTGACCTAATTTGCTGTTCTGTGTGGACTGCTTTCCCTATGGGAGCTGCGTTTAGCAGAAAGAGAAGAACCACAGAAGCTGGCACATATCACTGGGGAGAGCGCTTCACCACAACTCAGAAGAGAGCAAAAATATCTTCCAAAACTCTGACAGCTTGTTAAGAGAGAAAAAGGACCTGAAAGACAGGCAAAAAAGAAACGCTAGAAGAGAAATCCCTCTCCTAGTTTTGAAAAGTCTTTGCTCTTTCACACAGATTTTAAAAAGGTGTTGTTTTTTTTTTTTTTTAATTCCTGAAAAAAACATGAAAAGAAACCATATGGCTTTGCTTGTCATGAACTGTAGAACTCAGTGCAGCACACACCCTCAGCTGAATTCTCAAGGCTGCTGAGTAGGAATGGATTCCCATTTCACATAATTCTACTCAAATACATGGTGGTAAAACACCAGTATCTCTTTAGGATTAGTGCTGTGGTTTCATCAGTTCCTGAACATAAGCAGAAGCAGACAATCCCTCTACTATCAAAATACATTCATCTATTGCAAGCATGAATTTACGTGGCATCAATTTTGGTACAAAACAATCGGCTTGGGATCCCAGAATTCCTCCATACAGACCATGAGCCATGCTCCTGCACGGGTCAGCCTCTGCCAACCCACCCTGCAGCGAGGCTGCCCCAGCTGCTATAGGGTTGACTGCTGCATCTTCAACATGATGAAAACATCCTTAAGTGTAAAATGAAAGAAATGAGTTTGCATATCAAAAGGAGCCATGTAACTCTTTAAAATCTAAATGATACATTAGGCTTTTATATGGCAGGAAAGATTCAAATTCATACATAGGGCAGTTCCTGTCCTCTCTTGCCTAACAGCCTCCTCTTTTTCATGTAGATAGGTAGATTCAGATATAGATACAGACACTAGCTCAATTCTGAGTACTGGGTTCAACTTTGGTTTGAGTGTTTGCTCCAAGATGAAGTCTTTTGCACACTGGAAATCAGCTAATAAACTGGTATTTTTGTTATGGATTAAGGTCATCATCACTTTGCCATTTGTTCTTCTAATTTTCAAGCCATTTACTTAGAGAATAAAGAGGAAAAAGAAGTGTAATTAAATGTGTGGGGAATGCCTATGTTTTCTTTTCATCATCTGGTGACGAAGAAACACAGCAGAATTTTTAAAAGCACAATTATATTCTAAAAACCAAAGCCTGGGTTTCTGCAGGCTCTGTATAACATCTATAAAGTGAAGTTTCATATAAAGGTGGGAAGATCTGAGCTCCTCAAATTATGATTATTCCCAAAAGCTTTACAAATACACAGTAGGGTTTGCAGATAAGCCAACTGCAATTACAGTAGAACCTGGGATTGCCTCGAATTTACAGAGTAACAAGCATTGCTAGACAAGTTTCAGAAGGCGAACGAAGGCTAGCTTGATACCTTTTTCCCATCTGCCAAGGCGATGTCCTTCACCACGATGTTCACGTCCAGGTCCTCGAAGAGCAGCCTGCGCGCCCTGGCCGAGCGCAGGAAGCACTGGGGACACTGGCAGTTGTCCCTCAGCCAGACGCAGGGGTAGCGGCTCTCGCTCCCGTCCTCCCACTCCACACGGATGAAATGACCCGTGTCCAGAGCTTCCACCTTCCGTGCGCCGGGGCTCATGCTGAGCGGGCAGGCGATGCGCAGCCCCGGCGCGGAGCCCTGGCAGCGATGCCGAGCGCTCCCCGGGGGCAGGCTCCTGCCCTTCTGCGCCGGGGGCAGGCAGCACGCCCTGCCCGCGGGGACTTTGGCCCTCGGCAGGGCGGTAGCCACCGCCCTCCACATTTCAGGCCCTTTAACGAAATCGTGGGAGGGAGAACGCCTTCGTGGAGCTCCTAAAACACCATGAAGAGCAGTTTATTACTTGAAGGAGTCAGTATAGCAAAAAGACCATTTAAAGATGATTCTCCCCTCCCCTCCTGCTACCTAGACCTTTGGGAACATTCATTATCTATCGCTTACATTTTTTGAGGTGCAGATGGTGTACTCAGACCCATCTATTCAAAAATCCCTTAGCTGAGCAGGGCTCCAATTTGATTCATCATCTCAGCTGTCTTTTGTTTCTGCAGTCAGTTCAATACCTATTGCACAGTCTCTTTTAAAGACACCTCGAGATGAGTTCCACAAATCAAAAGTAGGAACTACTACCAATGAGGTTCAGAAGCTAAACGTTTAAAGTACACATACCTTAATTCCTGTTGTGGATACTATGGAAAAAAGACACAGAAGCCACCTCCCTGCAAGGAAAAGCCTTGTAAACGTGATTTAAGCTACAGCAGAGTTCTGCAAGAGCTCCTTTCCCCTTTCACAGCCACACTTCTTTCCATAGATAAACTCTTTTATTTAAAGCTAGCTGCATACTGTACTGCAGAAAAATGATGCATCCAAATTTTAAATTAGAAAAGAAGTTCTGGTCTAACATTTTTCTTATTCTGAAAAAATACTTGGCCTCCCCTTGAATCAGTAAGTCATTACATACATTTTTAACGGCTGTTTAACCATTCCAAGTATTGCATATCTTCAGTATCTTTTTCTGTTGGTTTTGTTTTTAAGCTCACAGGAAAAAATTTTGATGTCTTGACAAGACCAAGGTCTCCCCAGCTGTACTGGTTTCAGGATAGTTCTCTGTTCAAGGAAGTGGCTTACCTGATGGTAATGGGTCAGATCTACAAATACACTTAATCGACCAAAATATATTTTAGATTAAATTAGCACAATTAAGATGCAGGAGCGCAAGCCACAGAACCATTGCCTAATTGCTTAGGCAACTCAGAAGCTGTTGATACTTTGCCCTTCTGCATACAAAGTTATCTGAAACCCTTAAATGCTAATGATACCCATATCCAGCATGATGAAGACAGAACTGAGTATCCTCACATATACCTGTTATCCAGTTTACCTAAGACTGGCGAACAGATAGCTGCACACCAGAAAACTGTGCAAGGCACGATAGGGCAAGCAAGATCAGAAAATGCCTGACATTTGGACAAATCCAGCACAAAGCATGGCACTCACATCCACTTGAATTTAAGAACACCAGTAGAAAGCATATGAGCAACATAAATGGTTAGATCAATTTATTCCACCTTTCAGTGAGTGTTTAAGGAATTCACGCACAGAGCACTCTTCCCAGAACCAACTACCCAGCTCCTTTGGGGATACAGATGCTTTTCTCTGTGTACTAAATATAAGTAGGTACTCCTGTAGGTATCTGCTTAAAACAAGACCATGAGAAACAGAATTTACTTCTGAAGGCCACCAGGAAGCTCCCCTGGCTTACTAGAAGGGACAGGGGAAATTCCAAGAACTAGATATACATAATGCACCCACCTAAGTAGCTCATTACTTTTGTCCATACATTCATTACATCTATCTGTTCAGTAGTATTCATTTCTTACACAATTTTCTCATCTTACTTCAGTGGTTTGCCAAATAATTTAAGAATTATCCACATGCTTAGTCTTTAACCTAAGCAAAGACTCTTCTTTAACCTTATCATGGAGGTCATGACTATCTGGATGTTGTATATGAACTTATAAATATTTTTCTTCAAAACGTCAAAACAAAGAACAGGAAAAAAATATTTAACCCTTTACTTTCTGAATGTCTCTCAGTGAAGATTCATCACTAAGTTTTAACTTCTACGTGAAGCTTGCCAGATTCAAAGGACTTCTAGGCATCTGCTATTTTACCATTCAATTAAGAAATCTGAACTTGCTTCCCAAAGATTCCTCATAGCACCAGTGGTAATAGGAAACCACATCAGATTCTTTTTTTTTTTTTTTTAATGGCAGGAAACTGAGGTCTATTTATTGTCTTCTTATCACAAATGTCAATTAACTGGTATTTGTTTACCTGGTAACTGATAACCCAGTCACACAAAACGCATGTCAAACAGTCTCTTCTAAATCCATGACAGTAAGTTTTGTAAATGCTTTGGAACAAAAGGTCAACCTAAAAAACCCAGATGAAACCAATCTTGCCAGAAGATTTCTAGATTAAAAAAAAAAAAATTGTATAATAAAACTTCTGGGATTTACTGAGGTGATATATATGTAATCTATGTTACAATGGGGAAGGCTGTAAACCTAATGGGAATTTCCACCTTTTCTTGGATGTGAGAAGCTTGTACAGCAGCGTTCACCTCACTTAACTTTAGACACCTACTGTAGTGACCTACACCTGAACATCACACACACCATCCCCAACACTCCTAACAGGCACATCTGGATCACAATTCAGCTGACCTTTTCAGAAACCTGCTTTAGGATGAGACGAACTAAACTCTTCTCTCCACTGACTACAAAAGAGCCTCAGTGACCAGCTCCAACGTGCATGTTACACCTTCAGTGTTTAAATTCAGCAAGACTACCTTTCATTACATTAATTTTATGATTAACTGATGCTTTTGTTTACAGACAACTGTTGCTATGTACAATTCACTAAACATTATATTGCTGGGAGAATCGTGGACAGTGGCAGCCCTAAACTTTTCTGCCACACAGAGAAAGCGTACACTGCTGTCAGTGGTACCCCTGTTCACACAAGACTGCAGCTTTTGCGTCATCAGTTAAACCTATGGTTAATCACAACATATTCTCCTTAAATACTTCCAATCCTAACAGCTAGAATCTGAAAGAGCCACTGCATCCCACAGGAAGAGGGGAGGATCTTCTTCACGGGCTGCAGCAGAAGCCTTCGATATGTTTAGGATAGGAAACAATTCCACTGGACATTTTCCAATATAACAAAAATAATTTTATGTGGCTTTTTTAATATGCAAATCTACTTTGTCTACTGTTACTCTGCCCCAAGACATATTCAGCTCTTTAGTTTATGCCTATTTATTGAAGTCAATTAACTTGTACCTGCATAACACCACTGTTAATTAGGAAAGAATCATACATTCCAGCTCCAGTATTATTCAGTTTGCTGGTTATGCAAGAGGAAGGTGTGAAAATTACTATAGCAAAGATTTCCCTTGTGGGTAAGTTAAGCATTTACTATTTAAATACACTGCAGTGTTTGCATTAAACTCCTGTCTTTGCTGTAAAGCAATTGTTTGGGTTAGCCAACTACCAAGAGATACTCTATAACAGTAAGAAGGCTGTCTATTGTTTTCCTTGAGTTAGTTATATCATAGTGCTATTACCAAAATGAAACCCCAGATGATTACTAATATCTACTACAGCACATCATGTACGTTTTTTCTTCTCAGATACACAAATTCAAGAGCTTTGCAAGGATTTTTTCCAATTTGCATCAGTGGGGTAGTAGAGTATTCTGGGTCACGTTCTCCACAGAGACCACCCAGCATGTCCTCACTGGACTACTTCAGTAAGGCATTTCACACCAGCTGAGGATTTCTCACTCCTTCTACTACAGTGCTCAACCTTCCCAGCTGCGACCTGTGGGCTGGGTGAGTGTCAGGTACATGGAGCCCCCCCTTTCTCACCTGCACCATGCAAGACCTGAACAGTCAGGATAACCAGCTGCAGGTCGCAGACACAGCACCCAGCAAGGTGTTTCCAAGTGCTTCTATTCCCACTCCAGACCAGCAAGGGGGAAGAGAATAACCACCAGCTCCCGCTAGAATGACAGAGGCAGCCCAGTGCTGGCAGTCCTCCTTCCTGGAGCAGTGGATGACAGAATGCACAGAGCTAGGACAAAATATTCCTCAAGCAGCACTAGCAAGCTCCTAGCTGCCACATGAACAAGAATCCCCTGTCTGATGGCCCTGCCCATTTCCAGCATGCTGTAAGGAAAGGGCAGGTGTCCATGGACTGCATGGCTTTGTCTGGAACCTGTGTGTTATTCCTGACTTCTAATTAAGTGATTTTTCTTTACATTGAACATGTATAAGACATTAAGGTGAACCTGCAAAATGGTAGTGAAATCGAACTGTTCCAGAAAATCCTGCAATTGCACACTTAAAACTACCACACAGGAGCTAACTACTACCTTCCCACTTGATGATGAGGAAACCATTCTTCCCTCTTTACTAGTAAGTGTATCTATAAATGTTGTAACAGGGCAAAATGATCATTTCCAATCCTGATCGTTTGCACAATTATAACTACTGGGTTCTAATGTTGTTTTCCCAAAACCTTTATGTTAAGACACACTACTAAATGCTAGAGAAATACAACTTTATGTCTCAAAAAACCTGGAGTCCAAGACAGCTGAGTTGTCGGTAAAGAAAAACAAAAGCAAATGCCTGGTGCTGGCAGCACCAGGCCACTGCAGAAATGACATGTCATGTTCAAGGAAGCTATTGATGATGATTAATAGAATCAATCACACAACGTGGATTTTCTTATCACATTCAGTATAGTTTTTCAACTCTTGACAGTTGCTTAGAGGTTTGGCTTGCTTTTTTTTTTTTTTTAATTTTTATATAAAGTAGGATGCTAATCTCAAATTAATGGAAGCTCAATTACCAGCAAGAATTCCAGGAGGTTTTTTTCCCTTGTCCCCTCAAAATTTTCAGTCAGACACTTACCCGTATAATAGTGTTTTACACTTGAAATAGCATTCTGTACTTAACTACAAGCAGAACTCACTGATTCACCTAAAGTTAGCATGCTCATGACCATGGTCAAGTCAAAGAGCAACTGATAATGCAAAGTAAATTCTCTGCATCACAACTCTCTGCATTTCTTATCTCTGAACTGGATGCGCGAAGCTGAAAGACACCGCACATAAGTTTGCTCTCAATTATCAGACCTCAGATTTGCATAGTTTAAAACAAATACTACCAATAGCTCCTATGAGTCCCACCATCCCAGAAGAGCATCATCCCAGGCTCACAGATTCTCCGTCCTCATTGTTGTTACTCACTCATACACCTCAGCAACATGGCAAGGGTCAACCTGGACATTGACAGGCAATTACAATTTAAGGTGATCCCCATCACCTGGAGGCTGTGCTTTCATCTTCCTCCACTCTCCAGTTAAAAGGTAATGCTCACTATCCTCTTTCTCAAAAACCTGTCACCTTTGGTTTCCTGAAAACTCACCCAACTCCACCTCATCCAGACTCCCCTGGTTGCTGACAGCAGTGTTAAATTTGTTAACTTTACCTGCACAGCTGCTTAAAAGTTAATCATGACTAAAGACACTTTAAGACAGCTGAGCTATTCTGGATAGTATACGTTCTCATCACGCAAGGTTAAGAAGCTGCAGAGAAATGAAGGACATAATCAGTGTATCAAAATCAAGTTTTAGATACTCCTTAAAACCAGTTTGCTGCATCAGAAGGTGATTAATATAAACCAGCTCCATGCAGGATATAGCAGAATTTAACAGGGATCCATACAAATTTAGACAACTGGAGGAAGAGCTCACACAGGCCTCACTTTGAACTGAGGTTTTATAACTTCTAAGTACTGCCCGAGTCAAAAATGAATGCAAACTTCAGAAAAAAGAATAACCCTGGACTAAATATAGCACATGTAGCGCCTTCGATTGCAAGGCTGAGTTATACCATCTTGTGTACAAGTGTACTAAAGAGTCCCTCCACGAAAACATTCGCCAGATGCTGTTCTCTCAGATTACAACCGAAACAAAGAAGCAAACATTTACTATGAAGTGAAAAACCCTCACATGTTCACAGTAATTCTCGACTACATAGTACCGCGTACGCAGCACCGGGACAGACACAGTCTGGAGAATCCCTGCTGGGAGTCACGCTGCAACCCCACCCCCGCTTCCGGGCCTGTAAATTAGCATAATTAATGGCCGAGGAAGCTTATTTAGGCAGGCAGGTTGGGCAGAAGCGCCTCTCTCGGAGAAGCGGGAAGGACGCAAGGCCCGCGCAGGGCCGGGCCGGGTGTTCCGAGCGGCGGCGGCACCAGCTCCGCCTCGGGCCCCGGCCCGGCTCCCCTTACCTGCCCGCCCGCCGCCGCGGGGCCCCGGCTCGTCCCGGGGCTCGTCCCGGGCCGGTGGGTCCCGTCAGGCCCGGCCCCGGGGAGGACCCGGCCGGTTGGCAGCAGCCCACCCGCAAGGGTGTTTCCCGGGGAATTCGGCTCGGGGATCTCCTCCAGGCTAAGCGGGGCCTTTCATAAATTATTTAGTCCACTGCGAAACAACCGCGCAGAGAGCCGGGCTCGGTTAGGTCCTTGTTTCCCCCTCCCTGCACAGTGACTTTGTGCTTGACTGAGGTGGATTTTTAAAAGGTATTTGGTCTTGATTTGAAGATGAAGGGATGGGAAAGAAGAAGGGGTGGGAAAAGTCAGCTTTTCCTATGGCTCCTTCTTCCCTGTGTGGAACAAACACACTTGCCAGCCACTTCAGGTTCCCAGTTTTCACTGAAGAGGGAGATCAGACTAACAACCCTCCTTGGCCCAAGGGACCAAAGCAAGGACCTGGGAAGAAATATAGCACAGAATGTCCTGGCTCTCCTCAGTAGGTGTGATGAGAAACATGCCCATACAACAGAAGCAGAGAGACAAAATGGGTAATAAATTAAAAAAAACAAACAAACAACACCACCACACAACCCCCCCCCCCAAAAAAAAAAAACCTGAAGTCTTTATATGACAGATGTAGCCTACATTAAACATCACTGAATACAAAAGATGGCCTTTACAGGCAACACTCAGTGGGACTATGGCCAAGCAGAGCCTATATTGTGTCATAAACCATCCCTTCTGTTTCAGAGGGAATGGCTTGTGTCTGTATTCTCCAAGATAATGGTGCAGATTTATATCAGCAACAGTGTGGCTGGCAGGACTAGGGCAGTGATCGTGCCCCTGTACTCGGCACTGGGGAGGCTGCACCTCCAACACTGGGTTCACTTTTGGGCCCCTTGCTACAAGACAGACACTGAGGGGCTGGAGCGTGTCCAAAGAGCGGCAACAAAGCTGGGGAAGGGTCTGGAGCACAAATCTGATGAGGAGCAGCTGAGGGAACTGGGGTTGTTCAATCTGGAGAAGAGAAGGCTGAAGAGAAACCTTATCCATCTCTACAGCTACCTAAAAGGAGGCGGTAGCGAGGTGGGGGTTGATGTCTTTTCCCAAGACACAAGTGATAGGGTGAGAAGAAACAGCCTCAAATTGTGCCAGGGGAGGTTTAGAGTGGATTTTAGGAAAGATTTCTTCACCGAAAGGGTTATCAAGCATTGGAACAGGCTGCCCAGGAAAGTGGTTGGGTCACCATCCATGGAGGTGTTTAAAAGATGTGCAGAGGTGGACCTTAGGGACATGGTTTAGTGGTGGACTTGGCAGTGCTAGGTTATCAGTTGGACTCTGATCTTAAAGGTCTTTTTCAACCTAAATGATTCTATGTGATGGTTTTACTGTCAGACAATTCCTGTGAGCAGAAAAGCTTCAGGCAGATGAGCTTCCTGGGAATAAATTTAAAAACAGCACAAGCATACCCTCATTATTTAGTGTCCAATACCTTTTGGCTGGCAAATATGTTAGTGCTGCATTTATTCGAACAGTGTGTTCCTCATGGTTGAAGGGAGGGAGGATTTAACAGGAAGAAATATGGCTTGTGTAGCTGAAGGCAATGGTGGGATGTAGCACCTACCAGTTTTTGACTGGATCAGCTCATGTTGATCTTCAAGTTTTCAGCTTGTATTGGACTGGAATCCCCACTTTCTTCATTACACGTAAGCTGGTGGCACGACTGACATGAGAAAGGAGAGCTGAACAAAAAAGGAAAACCTTTATTTTCCACCTGATGGGAAGCTCTTTCCCAGCTGTGCAGAAGGTACCTGCTCCACTGGACAGTCAGTGGCCACGCTGTGGTCTGCAAAGCACCCAGAAAAGCCCTGGTGCCTCAGTAGAACCAATAAAGGGAAACCCTTCAACATAAATGTTGCCTAAGCAGCACTTTTCACAGACAGTAAAGCATTCACAAAGATGAAAAGTTGACTAGTTGGATGGAAACAAGCACATGCAGAAGTGAAAACATTCAATGACTGTTTAGAGACTGTCTAAGCACTTTGGCAGTTAAAAAGGGCTAAGACTGAGTCTGCGACTTATAGGAAATTAAATATTTTTGTTGGTAGTTATCATTCAACATCTTCAATAATAAATAACCTTCACGTGCCAAAGCAGTGCTGTAATGCATGGAGTTGGATGCATTAATTTCTTTTAAGGAAAGAGTGGTAGGAATTAGTTGCTTTCAAATTTGCTTCCAAATCCATTTCCCACTTTTTTCACATTCTTGCCTTGTTTGGTTTTGTTTGTTTGTGGTTTTTTTTTTTTTTTTTTTTTCCCAGTTTTCTCTGTAGAATACACACATTCTTCATTGTCATGGCTGTCTTCATAGTTTTTTTTATTTTTCAGTAAGTAACTAACATATACCTCCCCTTCCACCTGTCCCCCACCCTACCTCTCCCCACACCCTGTTATTTGAAACAAGGAGCTTGGAAATTCTAAATTATTTTAAAGGTTTGATAGATTTGATGTCTGGCAGATAATCGGGTTTGTTTCATATATACTGTTTATAAAGTATAAACTGTTTACAAATTGCTTTATTTATTCACTGCAGACTCTCATTCTTCACTACAAAACCAAACAAGATAATTCTGTACCTGCAGGGATTTTATAGAGTACATACCTCAGTCCTTGTGTCAGTTGCTCAAGTTGTAGCTCTTAGGAAAGGGCAGTGTGAACATTCTGCCTGTAGATGAATGTTGCTTGAGAAGCCACAGCTTTTAGTTTTCTGACTCTTAGGCTGTTGGCTTTGCAACCTATTACATTAACACTTTCTCAAGTATTTTTGCTTCTTTGTTTTCTTTAGAACCAGTGCACACCATATTAAATGCATACTGGCTGAAAGAAAACTTTTTATACTGTATATGTTTATAATTAATTTATTAGTTTTACTAATTAAAGGGAGAATCAGGTGAATGGATTAGTTTCAAGTGTGGAGAAGCAAGTCAAGTTATATCTAAATAATATATTTAGAGTTTTTTAATGAGTGAAATCTGTTATTAACATGAACTAAGTATATAAGCATACATATAAATACACATCAGGCTGGGAAAAAAAAAAAAAAAACAAAAAACAGAAGAAATTTTGTTTAGACCTTAGGAAGAAAAGCTGTATATAGACCAAGAATGGAATTTTTTCTTACTTTTTTCAAGCCAAAAGGGGAACATTTTGAAGTATTATAAGCATAATAAGGAAGGTGTGAGAATTGAAACAGTCGTAAGACTCATTTGGTAACCAGAGCACTCCAAGGTGTTTGCAAGACTGGGTCTCTATTTTTATAAGAAGTGTTACATAATACGCAAGTGGAAAAGTATCCTATCCATGTGGAAATAAAAACAAACTGCCTTCAAGATGACATAACTCAGCAAAACATGAATCATTAGTGTTGTGCTTGTATTTGCTGAGTATCTACAAAAGAAAAGTTTAGAAGATGTATGTCAGAAGTGCTATATAATGAAAATCTGGACCTTATTTATTTTACAGTACATTTATGTGCCTTTTTACTGTCACAACATCATTTTGATGAATCCTGTAGTGCAAGATCAGTTCACTGATTCCCACTGGACTTTATTCTGTCACTGTTGTTCATACAGGGATGTATGATGCCCTGGGGGTTATGCCATGGGTTTCCATATGACAACTAGTCTATGCAGTAAGTTACTGCCGAATAAATTGAAAGATGGCAGCAATCAATAGGTAAAGGGCATTGCAAAATTTCAAGTTGCAGACTAACATGCAAAGAGCATAGAAAGCAAAACATCCTTAGGAAGCAAACTCTGATGTTCGTCCAATAAATTCGCTACCCTGACACGACAGTAAAAGGCTATGAACTAGACCAGTATTCCCAGTGGAATCAGACATACCAAAAATAATGATGTTTTCCTGCTCCCATGAGCTTCAGCTCTGCCCATGTGCTGTGGAGATATAAGCAGCAACTCAGAGCAGGCCCGAGACATCTGCGCAGCAGGGCAGACTGGAACGTAGCTTAGAAATGTAGAGGAATTAATATTAAACTCAGTAAGACTATGTAAGTAAATAAATACCACGCAGCCTGCATATGGTTGTGGAACCAGACACAATGGAAAGGTGGATAGGAGCTATAAATCAATATATATGTTGCACAGGGGATTGCCTGGATTTTTGAAAACCGTTATTGCCACAGAAATATAAATGTTTGAAACAAAAATCTGGCCTGCTTGCAAATTAGCTTCTAGGGTAGATGAGCACAGGGTGAACTTCAGTTCGTTCTTGATATACACGATCAGATTCATTCCTCTGCACTCATATCAGGAAAAAAAACAGAGCGTGGTTTACCTCTTCTTCATTCACTTAGTATTTTCTATGGTTACTCTCCTGAAATCAGAGGATATGCAAGATATTATTTAAAATTACAAACCTAATAGCATCCTGACTTGTGCGCTGACTCCATTATGAGCTAGCTTGTGTCTTCTTGTGCCTCTGTTAGAATCCAGAGTTAATAAGTATATTACTTTCTAAGAAAGCATCAAAACATAAAAATCATTTGCAAGATATTTAATATATGCACTCATATTACTCTGAATTTTGATACAAATCTCAGTTAAACCATTATATGGTTTTTTTATGAATTTGAAACATTCATATTCATAAAAAAAGGTCAAAGCCTGCTATTAAGAAAAGTTGACTGCTCTTGATTAACTAAAGAGCTGTCAACACAGAAAGTGCATGAGAAGTAATTTCTTATCATTACCCACCTAAAAGCATTACAAGCTCTTAAATAAATTTAAGTAAAAAAAGCTGAGAACTTAAGACCAAGAACTAATTGTCTTGGACCTAGCACTAAACTAAAATTCTCGGTCCTGTTATTTTTGAGGAGAGATGGTAAGTAGACAGAAAAAACCCCCCACATCTTGCAGTTTGGACAGTCTATAGTAAAGTCTCTATTATTTACACTAAAACTCATTTATGTTGGTGACTCCTCTTGTAGGGAAATGTTTGTAGCATGGAAAAAGTATGGAAAATACAATGCAAGCACACAGCTTTTTCGCTCATCCTGCACTTGCCAATACGTAGTGCTGGACAATGAATCTCTCCTTAAGACAACCTTCTCTGAGGACAATTTTTCCCCTCGCCTAAAGAAAGACATGAACAATTATTATTACATAAGCAGCTTCTAAGCACTTAAAAGAAATATACATACAGCCTAAGGAAGGCTGTCATCTGAAAAGAAATTATACATCTGGCATTGTCTTCTCTTATGAAAGAACGCTAATGGCATGTTGGAGACTATCAGCGATACCTCCCCAAGGTAAGGCAGTTTTCAAGGACGAATGACTCTACAAGCCATGAATGACTCTGTCCAAGCCACATCATTAAAAATGTAATGATTATGGAGACCATATGTTTTTCTTGTTACAGGATTAGTCATTAAATTCTGCCTTTTCCAGTTGTAAACTGATCTTGTAGGCAGGATGACAACTTTATGAAGAAAATAAAATAAGCACAGTTATAGTATTTTTATACACATATATTCTAATAAAAGCTTTTTTAAAAAGCATGTAGTGGGGTCAATATTTTTGCCAGTTTCACATACTTCAGGAATGAAATACAGACCCACAAATTGTTCAATTTTTGCTAATGGCTCACTAAAAATCAAAGTAATAGAAAATAAATTCCCCAATGGGCTAGAAGTAAAAATACATTTTAAAAGATAGAAAAATACCAGATTTTGGACATACAGAACTTGCTTCAGGAATAATGGCTGTCAAATACATTTCACTCAGCAACACTTCAGTGTTAGCTGAAAACTTCTTTACCAATCACAAAAGCGATATTCAAGAAGCATGAGCAAGAAGCTGGTAAAGTAACGTGAAACCCATCCAAATAAATAACTACACCGACAGCAACAGATCCACCCAATAGAGCTTCTCCACAAAATATACATTTTCTAGGTAAGATCACAACCAGAGATGATGCTTTCTCTGTAGCTCAACAGGTTGTTTCTATTGACTAAAGCAAGTATATTTTTTCCTTCTGACGTACCCATCTTGGCAACCTGCACCTGAGCACATGGTGACTTGCAGGAGCAACAACTTAGCTTCAGACAATTCATACAGCCAGCTTGGCACACAGCGGATTTTTGAGAGGCTTACCGTATTTTTGAAAGCTGCCCTCGCCTTCTGTTACTCCGGATGGTCCTGGGTAGGTCAACCTTTGAAACTTTGGAAGTTGGAATTTTGAAAGCCACTATTTGTACCACCAGCCCCATAAATTCCTAGCCATTGACTTGACACAAGGCAAGCACTGACTTTTTTTCCCCCAAGCTTTTATTAGTGCTGATGTGAGACAGCACAGTTTGCTCCATATTCACGCTCTGAGCTTCTTCCTCTCCATGTGTGTATCAGTAGGTGTGAGAATGCCCACAGAAGAGCACAGCCTTCAAAAGTAAGCTACCTGCAGAGGAGTGGAAGTGTCTCTTCATGCCTCGTTTTGACTCTTGATGAGTTAAATCACAGTGGCAAAGAAAACTTAAGTATTAACTAAGCTCTTTTTGACTGTTCCAGCTGCATTACTTTTTTTTTTTTTTTTTTTTTCAGAGAACATGGTCATCTGCCCTTCACTACCATCAACTCTTTAATAAATTCAGAAATCAATATATATTTTGAAAATCCCCAGAACACCACAAAACAAGACCAAGTCAGCTTAATCTTAGTTCGAACTTCTGCATTAAAAAAAATAAAAAGAAAAAAAGAGCCCAATACTGATGCAATATTGGTATTTAAATACAACAGGAAGAGCTATTGGGACAAAAGAGCTGCTACAATCATCCTTTTAAAACTATCTGCTTAAAAATCCTTACTGAGCTTTCAACGATAGAAAGGCCTCTACTATTTGAAATAGGCTGTATAAACCCAAAGAATCTTAATGTGATTAATGAAGTTTTATCAGATAAAAAAAAAAAAAAGCAGGAAAAAAATATAAGATGGAGAAGAGGACTGTAAAATCATTTTCATAGTTTTGAAAGAACCATTTTGAATTTAAAACTTTAAACTGCTGGCTATCACTAAACACTCAGTTCTCGCAGGCACTGCTGGTTTATAAAGGCCATTTAACACATCAGTTCTGACTCCAAATTGATAAATTTAATAGATACATTTAATATATACATTTGCTTAGACCACCCAGAATGATGTAGACCAAATTCTAGATTTAAATGTCCTAAAAGTGTTTTGTACTGGCTTCATCAAATCCACCTATGATTACCCCTTTTTACTAAACATGTGAACTTAGATATAAACCAGACTCAGATGTATGCATTTTCTTTTTGAAAGAGAACATTTAAAGCCTTTTATAATCAATGGTACAGAGCAGATTTCTGATTTTATTTCAATTTCAAATACAAAAATGTTTATATATTCCTGAAACATAAATCAATGTAGATATTTATAAAAATATTCCTATTTATCATATGAAACATTGGTGTGGCTTTTCAAGAACCACTGTGTTGTTTCATTAGGTACAACTTACAGTGAGGGGTATCGAGTGAAATGAGTTATACTGTAAATCTCCACAGGTCACGTAATCTGCTTTGGAAAGTACACTGTCTGCAAACATTTACTCTCTTGGTATGCTGCATCCGTTGGGATAGTTTGAGCTTAACTAAAAGTTTGCTACTTCAAACAGAATAGCCAAGCTGCTCAAAGCATATGCAGGAAGCTGTGTTTTACACTACTACTACTATTTCTCTATTAGGATTTTAATAGTGCTCTCATATGGCTGAAACACTAGCGTGGCCTGCCATCTTAGTTTCTTTACTGACGTTTACAATTCATGTTATAACCAGTGACTCAAACAGTGGGTAAGCAGAGACTAAAAGCCCTTTTAAGAAGCATTTGGGCACAAATGGAACCATGTGACATCTTTGGTGCCCGCTTCTAAATGGGTAAGATTCAGAGAGAAACAAGAGACTGGACATAAATGAAATCCTCAGCCACTTCTAGAGCTTGGTCCATCCCAGAAATGCTGTGTGGTTGGCCGTGGTAGTGGGCAGACAAAACTCAGCGACTCCAATGGCCCTTTTTGCTCTTGTGTTGTTCTATCTAACCTTAGAGGCAAGGAAACTATCACAAATAAAGTTATTTTTAAGATCTAGAATCTGTCATACCTTCTAACTTGACAACATACTAGAAAATAACACCGAGTACTTATGCTGATTTCAATTAATAAAATGTTTAATTTTTTTTCAGGCAGATCTTCAAAGATACTGGGGATCTAAGGTACAAATTGGTATCTGAAGTATCCTGCTAGGAGCTACACCTCACCGTCTTCAGCGAAAGTGAGCTGCCTGGATGGTCCAGAGGTTCTGTAAGCACATACCTTCCTCAGACATTTCCCAGTGCTTTCAGCGCTCTGGTCCCAGGTGACTTACATTGATCCACTACACTGTTGAGTAACTTACCAACTAGATGGTTTGAAGACCAAAGTATAACAGAACTTGAGCAGGTTTAAGGTCAGACCTCAAGTGTGCATCAAACAGCTTCTCTTCCAGTGCCATGAGGTTGCTAGTTTCTTAAAAAGGCTTAAAAACTCCAAAAAAAAAAAAAAATCCACCCTACGCACCCTTCTGTATCATCGCTTTTAATGAAACTTTCTTACCTCTCGAGTCTGTACATTTTTATTTAACTAAAAAGCAAGTTATTTCATTTGGCAGGATCTACATACTTGCATTTTTTTTTTTTCTGAAAAGAGGTATTACAACAGCATGTTTTAAATCAAGAGCATCTCAAGCAGAACAGTAAAAGAAAAATGTGCTTTAACACTGTTTTCAAACATTTATTAAAACATACAAAACATACGGACGTTTTTTATCCCAACAGTGATTCTGCCTGCAGTATCTGTAACCAAGTAGCCACATTACCCCAAACTGACAATTAAACAGCAATGAGTCTAAAAACCCAAACAATCCTCCCCCTCCTTCCCACTAGGCACTTCTGCTATTGTCTAGGAGCACAAATAGTTTTATTAATAGCTTAGCTAGCAAAAGTACAAAGGCACCAACAAGAAATGTCACTGTGCTGGCACAGACAAAACCTTTTCGTCTGCTTTAGAAACATGCTCTATGAAACCTGGCTCTCAAATTTGGGATCTGAAACTACAATCACCACTAGAGCTCCTTCTTCTCACTATAAAAATCTGCATCAGCATTCTCAGGATCTGACATAAGCCTTTTTGGCTGGCTCTTGGGGTTATGATAGCTTAGAGTCACAGATAAGCAAGCCTGGAAGAGTAACAAATCCTGCCAGAATAGTTCCCGTCTTTCAGAACACAAACTGAAATCACAGCTTTAAGTTACATAGTAAAACAATACTTAACGTGCACTGAATACATACCGTTACAAAAGGTTAAGGAAATTAATAGAGGGCCAGAGGTTTCACCCTGACGGGCTGTAACAACAAAAGCAATTTAAGCATCAGCAACAGGCGGGTCCGGAGGTGGCTGGCGAGCACCACGCTTCACCCAGGTTTGCGGCAGGTGAGCCGCACGCAGAACAGGCGATACATAAACCGGTGATGGGGAATCCAAGACGAGAAGGCTTACTTTCCTCTGTGACCAGTGTCGAACAGCATAACCCGGGCTACAATTTTTTTATTTATTTTTTTTTTTTAAATACGGGATATTAACTTAAACATACCTCTAGCTTCCTGGTTTACTGAAAGCACGCTATTCGTTTAGCAAGTCCAACGTAATAAATAAGTTTTTTCCAGGGCGAAGGATGTGTTTGTGCGAGGAGGGGCTTCCTCCAGGCAGAGCCCGGTGCCGCGTCCTCCGGAGGGGCTGGCGGCGGGGCCGGGGGTGCCGCCGGCGGGGCGGGGGGCCCGGGGCCGGCCGGGGCGGGGGGTCCCGGCTCAAGCGCGGAGATAATCGTTCTTGAGGCGGCTGAGGCGGGCGCCGTGGCTGCGCACGGTGAGGGCCAGGAGGTCGTGCTTGTCCCGCAGCCCGCTGGAGATGTGGCGGGTCTCCCGCAGCAGGGCGCGGGCGTGCAGCAGCAGCCCCAGGAAGCTGTCGCCCAGGCGGGCCTCCTCCCGGCCGCCCTGCTCCTGCCCCTGACGGAACTTGCCCTCCAGCTCGCTCAGCGACCGGTCCGAGCTGGAGTAGGCGTCGCTGATCTGGGCGGACTCGCGGCGCAGGTAGGTGCTGTAGCTCTCCTCCCCGTCCAGGTCGTAGGAGATGCTCTTGCCGATGCCCTCCAGCACCCGGCCCGCGTCCTCCACCTGCCGACCCAGCACCGTCAGCTCCTCCCGCAGGCTCAGCCCGCCGCCCGCCGCCGCGCCGCACCGCCGCTGCTCGCTCACCCGGAACAGCAGCTGGCACCGCTCGGGGTCGTCGTTCTCCTCGTAGTCCCCGTCGGGGACGAAGTAGTGATGCAGGGTCCCGTTGGACATCTCGGGGTACAGCGGGCCCTCGAAATACCCGCGGCAGAGGCTGCAGAGGCAGCCGAACCACAGCAGGCGCAGCACTGCCGGCATGCTGCGGCCAGCGCCGGCGGCGGGCAGCCTAGGGCCGGCCGGCGCCGCGCTGCCGCTGCCCCCGCCCCATGGGGCTCCCCCGGCCCCCGCGGGGCACGGCCGCCTGGGCGGCGGAGCCGGGACGGCTCGGGCAGGGCCGGGCGGGAGGGCGGCGGCGCCGAGGCCTGAGGGCGCTCTGGGGCCGGCGCTGGGCGCACCGCCCTTAAAAGCCGGGCAAGCCCGCGCCGAGGAGGAAGCGGCCCCCGGGCCGGGCCGGGCCGGGCCGCCCCCCGCCCCGGGCACCGGCCGCCGGGCCCCGCGGGCCCCGCCCCCCCGAGCATCGCCCCCGGCCCCGGCCCCGCGGGGAATGGGGGGACGCACGCGTCCACCTTTCGCCCCTTCATAAGCCGCAAACCTGGGGTTGCGCCGCTTTTCTCTCTCTTTTATCTTTTTTTTTTGTTTGTTTTTTTTGTTTTTTTCCCATTAAAAATGCTTTGCTCATCGGGTTTTCAGAGCAGCAAACGGGGCGCGGGGCAGAGGGAGTTCGCTGGCCCCCCCACCCCCGAGCGGTTTGTCACTCAGTAAAAACTTGAAAACAGATGCAGGTTCCAGTGTAAGGTCTAATGCAATAAACCTTGGTGGGAGGGGGAAATGAAACACAAAATCTGTTCTTAAATGTCAGATGCATCCGAGGAAAATCCAAATAGAGTTCAACCTGTGGGGCCAACTGTGTAAAATTTTAAGCATTTCTCTTTCCTGAAACAATACCCTGTGTGAATCCAGTAGCTGCTGTACAGCAGAGCTAAACCTTGCACGTAACTAGTATAAATCTGTCTTTGCCGTTTTTGAGTTGTTAAATCAAGGTGAGATCACAAAAAGAAAGGGTCTGTAAAGTTACCAGCTCCTTTCACATCATCTGTCCTCTTTCATGGAAAAAATCACCAGCTAGCAGAGATTATACCAAATCCTGCAGTCAGAGTTAAAATTCCCACCACTGTTCATGAGGGTTTTGCATGCAAAACTATATCACTTCTTTAATGTAAGCATTTTAGCTATCTTCCTGATACCTTCTGCCCCTTGTAAATAACTATGGTGCTTATAGTTAACTTTATTGGGAAACAGTCCAGATGGTTATGTTGTATCTCTGCTTTTTTCACTATTATGCTGGGCAATGTAGATGACAGCCTTATGGAGCTCAGGGGACTTCGGCTCTACCATTTCTTATGCCGCCATGACTCTAGACGCTTCCATTTCAAATGCAGAGTCTTAAGCCCCTTCCCTCACGGCGGCTTCGTTCCGTAATCACAAGCTATCTGGGCTGTGGGCACACGTGAAGCAAATAGCTGCTGCGGAGCCCAGCTGCTGTTGTCGAGCTCAAGTGTGCTGAGGTCCACAAGCTGCTCCTTTCTTTGCTTGCAGTTCCCTGAGAGGCTCCAGTGTGGCCCCCGTTTCCACGGATCTGGCTTTGGCAGCTGGGTGCTGATTCTGCTCCCCTGCTGCTGATGGGTAGGTCCGTAGGTTCCTGGGAGATCAGTGATGAGCTCAGCTACGTGGCCAGGCCCCTTAAGGTGTGACACAGCAGCATGTTCTCACTGTCAGTGTCGCCTTTAATACTTAACGATGACCCGTGCTATCAGCGTTCCCTAGTATTGACTCTAGAGCCTACTGAAGCGCTTTCAGTAAGCGCAGGAGGTCTTAAGACTAACAAAGACCAAGAAACAGGAGCAAAAAATAAACCAACAAGTCAGCGAACCAACAAAAGCCTAACCCAGAGACAGCAAGGGTCATAGCTGAACCCATCACTTACTGAATTGCTTTAAGTAGACCTTCCAAGCCTCAAGACCACGTGCAGATGCACCTCAAGGTGAGCAATGTTTGCAAGGTCCAGGCAACTTCTTTTTCACTGCTGAGAACCCAGGCCAGACAAGCTATCCAAACAGAAACACTCCACACATTTGGAAACATTTAAAATTTGTAATTAAGTTCAGAAAACACTCAGAGAAATAGGTTGGATTAGGCTAAGCTTTTATGCTTCAGCTTTCTATAAAAGGTTTAAAGCTTATTCAACTGAGCGTGCTTGGCATTTGTCCTTGGTCTGTGTTTGCCAAGAGGGGCTCTTTCAAACAATTTTATTCCCAGGACGCTCTTCTTTCACCTAATATTTTATTTGATTCCTAATTCTTTGCCAGCCGTAGTACTTTATCTACATAAGTTTCCACCCCAGCTGGTGTTACTGCCAGTTGACTGGTTTGGCTGATACTGGGGTTGTGGTAGACTCCACTTTTGAGGTCTCTTCATGGAAGTACTGCGCTGTAAATCACTCTGCTGTAGCTTTGTCAGCATGGTTAGGCTTTCACCAGTGCCACAGTGGGTAAAAAATTCAACCTTAGTAAATACTTTTTCTCCATCTCTTGATACATTAAGAGACTAAGAGGTGTCTCTTGCTCCCTGTTGCAGTTGCTCACTCCCAGCTACTGCTATTTTCAATTCAACATGCATTATCCAAGTTTTATTTAAATTTTACATCAAAATAGTCTCTATCCAAGTAACCCACTTGGAATGTCTGCTTCTGAAGGAAGTCTGCAATAAAGGATCCACAGTCTTGGTGACTCAGCAGGCACAGCTTTGGTAAAAGATGGAACTTGCTGAAAGATACCCAACAGCCTGATCCAAGGCAATACCTATTATGGTTCAGGATTACAATGCAACAGAATCCTAGGTTTTAACTGAAAAGCATCAAACAATGGCAAAGACGTAGGCTCACACTGACAGAACACTACTGTGCATAAGTAGCCATTATTCACTCCAAACTCACATCTAAAAGACAAAAGTCTTAAGACTGCAGTGTGATAAAATAACATGAATAACTTTAAACTGTCCATAAAACCATGTGCGTACAAATGAAAATCAGTCTGTTTTTTTTTTTTTTTTTTTTTTTTGAAAGACACACACTGAAAGTAACAATTACCTTTATCCATCAAGACCTGGGTTGAAGGGTCAGACATTTCCATCACAGTTAATGCTAGCAGGAACACCACAGCGATGACTGAAATATCAACATAAAAATCAGTGTCAGTGTAGAGTTTTCAAAAGTAATTTCTGGCATTATCTGGAAGGCACAGAGGGCAATAAAACTGAAAGAGGACCGAAGGGAATTTCTCAGGAATACCAGAAATGTGGAGGGGAGGGAATCAGGGAGGAGAGCATGCTGTTTTCTGCTGAATGTTGCATTTTCTGCTGAGAACCCATAGGGGTAGTTGTATGAGATCAGATATCTGGGGAGCTTTTGGGATACATCCAAGAAACAGCTGCTCCTTGTGGCACGCTCCCATGAAGGCCCTCATTGAAATCCTGGCATTGTCAAAAGGCCCATTGATTTCAGCATGACAGTATCTTACGCTCCGTGCCTGCTCAAGCATTTAAAAATTCCTTTTGCATAAAATGAGGAAAAAGTAATGGAAAGAAAAATAAAGCATTGTACTGATACTGTCTTTTTACAAATACTTGACATGATATACTCTGCTGTGGTAAAGCCATTGTTTTTCCATTGAACAGCATTAGGTTTGTAGTACTATAAAGAACTGCAGAATTTACTCTGCATAACCTCTTGTTCCAACAGCACCAAAATCAGCCTCCAGCCTATGAGCTGATGGCAAATATGCAGCTCGGCACTAGATTTCAGGTGACGTGGGCATAATCTTCCTCTGCAAGCAGTGCTTCATCTTTGGTTCTTGGCTCACATGTGCTTGCTATTTCTGTCGCAGATGACAGTAAACTTTGCAGCATCAGAATGTTTCAGATGTAAATGGCCATTAATTTGGAGAACAGATATATGCTATATGGTCCTAAAGGCCCCCCAGGCTTTAGGGTATAGATGTTGTTTGCTGACTACTGGCTTCTGTTTTCCTGCTGTGAACTGTTCTATAGCTTTGCATAAAGATACCTTGTTTAAACATGAGACTAACAAGTATGTGTGTGTAATTTCTAATTATAGGTTGTCGTACTAAATGTTCAAATGGCATCAAGTTAGGTGGGCATGAAATAGACCATGTAAGAATAATGCTAGGTTTCTTGTAGGAAAATTGCCATAATAATATACCAGAAATTCTGCAGAATAAAAAAAAAGATTTAGCAAATGAAACTTTTATAAAGCAATTAATATTCATGCAGTATAACTGTAGGATACAACAGAAATTATGAATAAATATGCTGAAGCGTAAACTGTACTGAATGTTCCAGGACCAACATATCTACCTGTCATTACACTGAATGTTTTAATTTCTTAGAAAGGCGAGTTTAATTCAAGAACAAGAGATTTCTCAAATATAAATTTGTAGAGAAAACTTTGTTGTTAGCTTATGTTTAGCACTAATGGATTCCAATAAACCTTTTCTTCTGACAGTTTTCAGGCTGAAACCACAGCTGTGTCTGGGCATGGAGTCCTCTGGGTCCTTTAGCACTGTCCCTTCTTGGATAAGCAATAGAGAAATCTGAATTCACAAACCATGAGTACCCATAGGAAGTAGTGGGTATGAGGCTTAACATGAATGCAGCTAATAGGAGTCTGTCAGGCTGGTTATCTCAGAAGAATATACAATTAGTATTGAATCTACTTTTTAGCCAACAACAAAATGATCTCAACCTTGGCAGAAAAATGCAGAAAGAGATTTTACCACAACCCCCCTCTGTTGTGGGTGCTTGTTTACTTTATGTAAATATAATTTTCTTAAAGCAGAAAATTGAGGATGTGCTCAGGTTATTTTTGAAAAGAGAAGTGATGCATCTGGATGCTTCCTAAGAAGGGAAGACCTTAAAAGAGAGATGAAGAGGGATGAATATTTACTGGTATTATACTAGTGCGTTTCTGTCCATTGATGAAAAACCTCGAACCCCAAAAGGGATATCGCTAGTATTTTTTCAGCAAGGTTCCTGAAGTGGAAATAATAACACTTCCTCAGTGGAAATGAAAACATTTTAAAAAGCATCATCACTGGCCAGCACATAGAGAAGTTTTCCTGTAACTGTAAATGCAGTTAGTTACAGAGACAGCATATTGTGCTGTTAAAATGTTGATTTGATTTTCAGTCCTTTCTATGTTATAGGGCTGTATGTGAAAATATATACGTTGCAGATGTTACAGAAATATAGTTCACTAATTATTCACGATAACATATTCT